GTACCGAACAATGGGGCATATGTCATCACGTGTGTGACGCCGACTCACCGTGGCAAAATGGGCGGGTCGAGAGGCACGGGGGCTGGGTCAAGGATCGGATCCGTGCTGAGCTCGAGTCGGGATCTTTCCTGCCGGGGAGTGTGGAGGAGCTCGATGACCTCATCGCGGAGCTGGTTGCGCATAAGAACCGCTTCTGGCATAGGGGAGGCTTCTCCCCCCTCCAGCTGGTCTTTGGGGAAAACCCGCGCCTCCCCCATGATTTGCTGTCGGATGACCACCGGGGTCTGCCCGGCTGGCAGGATATGACTCGCTCCGGGGCTGAGCAGGATGAGGCCGGGGCGGAGTTCGCCCGCGCGCAGGAGGTTCGGACGGCGGCCCGCCGGCTGGCCCTTGAAGTCACCGCCAGGGAGAAGATCAGTCGAGCGTCCAGGGCCAAGACTCCCACGGCGATCAAGTACACCCCCGGGCAGTGGGTTTTCGTGTGGAGACACTTTTCGAGAACGCCATCTCGAGCCGACGCTCTGGGGCGTCGTCGGGATGGCTGGACCGGTCCAGGCGTTGTGGTTGTGAGTGAGGGAGGCACCGTCTGGGTGGCGGTGCGCGCGAGGCTGTGGAAGCGCAGCCAAGAGCAGCTGCGCCTCGCCAGTCCCGAAGAAGAGTATGGGTTGCAGCTCGCCCACGATCCCAAGTGGCAGGAGCTGCTCCTCGCCGCGAGGACCCGCAGGGTTTCCGCCGTGGACGTCCAGCGAGAGGGACCTCCCCCGGACGATTCCTGGGACGAACCGGCGAGCGTCGACCCGGACCCCGGCCCCAGGGTCCCAGGAGCCGGGAACGTTCCCCGGGAGGAGCCGGAGCCTCGACCCCATGCTCCCTCGGTCGTGGGGCCTCTGGGCAGGCCCGTCCGCTCGGTGGTGTCTCGAGCCGGATCGACTGCGGCTCAACCTCCCTCTCGACTGCCCTCCATCCCGGAGAGCGAGGCGCCAACGGAGCCCGAGGGTAGACAGACTCCCCCCACGGCTCCCTCGGCGGCGGGCGAGGAAGAGGATCGAGGAACGGTCGCCCCTCCTTCTCTCTCCCCTCCCGCTCCCGCGTCTCTCAGCAGAGAAATTTCAGGTGAGTCCCTCACTCCTCCGTCACCTCCGCCGGGCCTGGAGCCTCCGAGGCCCCGCAGAGGACTGGAGCAGCCCTCTGACGTCCCTCACTGCATCAGGTCCAGAGCTGCCAGCAGCCCGCCCGAGGTGAAGAGACCTCGAACCGCCCCGGCAGGCGAGCCCGAGGCCGGGCCGACCGCGGAGGCGGCTACCCCTGAAGCCGAGGCGGCTACCCCTGGAGCCTAAGCGCCCCCCCCTCTCCCTCCGATCCATTCTCCTCCTCCTACCTCCGGTGGTGATGGTGGTTTCCAGGGTGCCCGGGGTAGAGAAGTGGTGGCAGGCCACGAGCGGTCTCGCTCAGTGGCCGAACGAGTCAGTCAAATTGAGAGAGGGCGCTCCCGGTCTCCAGGTCGGGGTGAGCTTGGGGAATTCTGGGTGACCCCCCGTGGGGACCGGGGGGTTCGCTTGGACTCGGCGCAGCAGAGCTGGACGGGAGCGCGCGACGAAGACGGCGGCACTTTCGCCACTGGCAGGGGGAGCGAGGTTTCCTTGAGGAGCCTGACCCCTCCCGAGCGAGCCAAGTTCGACGCGTCAGACTCTAAGGAGTGGAAGGCCATGATGGCGACGGGGGCTGTCAGGGTGATTTATCCAGCTAAGGCCCGGGTGATCCGAGAACAGCTCCCGGACCGCATCGCGTCGAGCCGTATGGTTCGACGGTGGAAGCCGGTGGAGGGCACGTTTGCGGAGCCGGAAGCAAAATCCAGGTGGTGCGTCCATGGGCACAAGGACCCCGACTCCGGATCCTTCGCGGTTTATGCACCTACCCCCCAAACAGCGTCGATAATGATGTTCCTTCAGGTTGCGGCTAACTTGAATCTCTTAGGCGACATCGCGGATGTCAAGAACGCGTTCTGCCAGAGCGACCCCATGAGGATATCAGGAGGCCAGATATTCGCAGAACCATGCGAGGGCGTCGACCTGGAGCCAGGTTCTCTCATCGAGCTGTTAGTTAACGTGTACGGCTTGGACGACGCGCCAGTCGCCTGGCGCAAGACTGTAGTGGGCTTTCTTGAGAAGAACGGTTTCGTGCGCAGTCTCCTCGAACCGTGCTGGTGGATCAGATACAACACTCACGGCACCATCCTCAACATGATGCTGTTGGAGGTGGGCGATTTCATGATTGGAAGTGCTAACGAGGAGGCTCGATCATGGTTGAGACGGCTCTTAGAGTCCCGATTTAAGTTTGGAAAGTATCGCGACTGTCATGCCGGATCGGTCGATTTCGCGGGTAGAAGGGTTACGCTTTCGGACTCCAAGATAGTGGTGGACCAGGAAAAATACATACTAGAGGAAGTTCGTCCTCTATCTATGGCGAAGGGCCGAATGTCCGACAAAAGTGCACCCCTGGGACCCGACGAGTTCAAGGCACTGCGCTCCCTAGTGTACAAGTTTAACTGGGTCGGACGAGAGTCACGACCCGAAGCTGCGGGGATCGCATCCATCCTGGCCAGTAGACTCAAGAACGCCACCATCTATGACGTGATGTGTGCGAACAAGCTCGTGAAACATCTTCGGTCCTCGGCCTCCCGAGGCCTCACCATATGGAAATTGGATCCCGAGAAGTTCGCTTTCGTTTCGTTCTCCGACGCCGGCGGCGTGGGGGCAGACTCGCACCTGGATGACGAGCGTGGCCTACCAGCAGACCCTACCCAAGGGGCCTGGATGGTGCTCGCGACCGATCGGTCCGTTCTCCAGAACTGTTCCGTCCGAGCATCGGTGCTGGGGTGGAGGAGCTGTCAATTGCGTCGGAAGGTACCCTCCACGTTAGCTGGAGAGACCCAGGCTCTCTCAGCAGCAGTCGCAGAGGTAGAGTTTTTGCAAGTATTGTACAGAGACGTCATGTTTCACGACGTCGATGTCCCTGAGTGCCGACGTGCTGCAGGACCCTTCACCACAGTGCTGCGCCGTGACTGCAGTCTGAGCTCACGTGAACAGCAGGTGCATGTAGTAGATGCGAAGTCTATTTATGACACGATGCAGAAAGAGGGCAACGCGAGTGCGAAGGATCGACGCACTGCGCTGGACCTCGCCATCATATGCGAAGCACTAGAAAGAGCGAGAGGAAGCGTGCGTTGGGTGCCACATGGGCGCATGCCAGTGGACCCGTTGACTAAAGACGACATCACCAAGTGCAATGCCGCTCTTTTTGATATCATGTCTCACGGCAGGCTGATACTAGTAGACGAGGGGGCCGAGCTGGAGCGTCGGAAGGCCGCTCCCGAGCTGAAGGGACGTTCCCAGCAGGCATCCCGGAGAGAGTTCGAGTCCGTGCAGATGTCCTGGGTCGAGTTCATGTCTCCTGGCCTGGCAGTTGGTGGTGGTGGTGGTGGTGGTTCCTCCAGTATTCCCACTCCTTCCTCTCCCTCTCCGCCGGCCAGTTCCGGTCACTCTTTCCAGTAATTTTGCCTTCCGTCTTCTGTCTTAGTTTAACCTTGCCAAGCGTCCCGGGAAGGATGCTGTCGTGCGGCCCCGGGGACAGGGCCCCGACTTACTGTGCGTTTCAGGGTACGGCTTCACCAAGAAGGGGAGCTGAACCTAGGAGAACTTCTGACCAGTGTTGCAGAGCTCCAGATTTTCCGATGATAGGTTCAGCGCATGTTGCCAACAGAGTTTGTGAACCGTGCCCTGTGGCTCAAGGCAAAAACGTTTGCTTGTCTCCGTCTGCCACACCCCTCTGAAAATCGTGGGGTGCTGGGGTAGGTTTCGCAGGTGGCCTCCTCAATGACACTTGCTGGGGTCTGCAGAGGAGCTGGCTCAGGGCGGTCTGAGGCGAGCAGCCGGTCCCCGAGCAGGGTCGAGCGAACGGGGGCGCCACGGGCCGAGAAGGAGGACAGGACCGTGGGAGGTCTCGCGTTCACCGTCGTCGGTGGTGTCTTCAAGCGCTGTTCGGGCGGGCCTAGAGTGTGATCGTGTTCTTGTTCACTGTTTTACCGATGGGCGCGGGCCCTCGCACCCCCCCTCCCCTCCCGCAGAGTAAGTCTTGGCGGTTTTTGGCGCCTGTTTCAAGCAGGTGGAGTCTCCTCCATGCAACGCACTGTTGCAATCAGTTGCATGAAGCAGAGGTCCAGAGCCAGACCCCCTCCCTCCGCCCAACCTCGAAACGCCGACGGTGAAAACGTTCACAATCGAGATACATCCGTGCCGAAGCGTTCCAGACCGCTTTCCAAACCCGCCGATTCTCAAACATTTCCGATTTAGATCGGTCCGCTTTTGTCTCGATGTTGCCTTCGTCTTCGCCGTCAAAAGCACTGCGCGCTCGAGGCCTTCTCAGGGGCGCGCTTAAGCTTAGGTCGGGCATGTCCTCCTACAGGCGGATTCTGGAAGACACATAAAACATTGTCAGAAGTATTCAAGAATAGACACAACTAATCAAAACAGCCTCACGACCGACTCTAGCCTTGACGACTAGAAATAATGTCGAGCACCAAGGCAGTACCGAATCTTGAGGGTTTTCACGTGTCGGGCCCTGGGAGGCCATACTCGTTCGACATTTGTTCGATACTCATTCTGGGTGTTCGAAATCATTTCTGGGACGTGATCCATAATTGCGATAGGGGGCAACATAACCGTACGTGCCCGACGTAAGCCTAAAGCCCAGAGGGCCTTA